CCATTTAGATATTCAGAAATATCAGAATATTCTCCATAAAGAGCTCAAAAGCTGCATGGGAGGAAAAAAAGACCCAAAGCAGCCCCAGTCTAAGACCCCTCCCAACCCTTTATTTACCCATTGGCAGCAGGAAATGCTCCAAGCTTACCTTGGAATTCCGGACCTCCAGCGTTAGGTTCTGGGGTGGAGCACTGGGGACTGGAAACATTAAAGGAATTACAACCCCAAAACTTTCAAATATTGCATTTCCACACCCAACTACTCTCTGCTCTCATCTGCTATGGAAGTACAAACCATTCCGGTTTGTACCTATCCTCCCACAGGTTCTTTCTGACATAGTGAATGGTTAAGGAGGGTTCTGTATTTTCATCTTGAAGAAAAAACTCTTGATTCAGGTCTTTATTTTCACACCTATCTAAATAAAACGTGGTTTATTTTTAAAAGCACTTCTCAAACTCTCAGAGAAATATCCCATCCAGCTCCTTCCCAAGGCAAATCTTTCCTCAACACACTGCTTGATTAGAGAAACCCACATTGAAATGTCTGGCCTGGGTTTTGTTATCCTGATTTTGTGTAACAGGGAACCTCTGAGTCCCCAGGGCCTGTGACAGTGAGGAGGTGAAGGACATCTCAGACACTGGGGCTGTCTCTGAACTGCCCCTCTTTGCTTGTTCTTTACTCACTCCCCATGGCAGTGAAATCCAGGCAAAAAGGGAGCGCAAGAAAAACCCTGGGAGCAAGAAAAAACCCTGGAGTGCAAGAAAAACCCTGGAGTGCAAGAAAAACCCTGGGCAGAGCTGAGGCTTCCCTGGCAGGAAGGGGAGGCTCCAGGGAAGCACAAGGAGCACAGGGATAAAGAGGGATGAGGACTGCTCCAGCCTGCAGAATTCATTTTCCAAATAGCTCAGCCCAGCCACAGGAACATCCCAGGGAGGGCATCAAGTGCAAGAAGAGTTTGTAAAGGATGGGGTGAAACCTCCCTCACCCACCCCACCATGGCAGAAATGGAGAGGAGCAGGATTTGCCTTCCCTTGCCAGCCCAGCCTGAAATCACCACAGCTGAGGATGGAGAGCTAAGGGCATGAGAGCAGCACAGTGCAGAGGAGAGGATACAAAGCCAAGCTTTCCTTGCTCCTCAAGAGCCACCCTGCCATGTGGGGACACTTTCTACTACCCCAGGCTGCTCCAAGCCCTGTCCAGCCTGGCCTGGGACACTGCAGGATCCAGGGGCAGGCACAGCTGCTCTGGAAAGGCATCTCCTGGAGGGGACAGCACACGGAGAGCAGCCTGAGGAGCACCAGGACAGGCTGATGGCTCTGAGGCTGTGAGGGAAGGGCCTCAATCAGGCTCTGAGGCTCAGAGTCCACTCCCAGCTGTAATCCCTGATCAGGAATTCCGGGAGAGGAGAAGCAATCCTCAGGAGCAGCACATAAACCTGGGTCCAAATGGTAATACCTGCAGAGTTATCCCTGCAACGAGGCTCTGTAAGAGATTAGGAGCAAAAACCTACATAAAAATGCAGATGCTTTGTTAAATCAGGGCTAAAGGAAGCTTAGGGAGAAATCCCTGCAGGGAACATGGACATCACAACAGGAAAACATGGGAGGAAAATGTGCATCATTTTAGACAGATCTGAGAGCTTGCCAGGGTTATGAGACTGTAAGAAGCAAGATGACATCCTTCAAAGAGCTTTAGAAAGTAAGCACCTATAGCTTAAGTGTGAAAACTGAAGCTGGAGAAGAAAGAACTCCAGGAAAACTTCAAAATTATATTGTAACTAATAATAAATTCTTCAAACAATCAAGGAGCTGGCAGCCCTTTAGAGAAATCAGTGAGCAAATGGTCAGGTAGGGCAGAAGAAGACAAAGGTAAGGCCACCCAAGTCTCTCCTTGCATTGGTAGTGAGGGGGAGGGAAAGGAGAGGTGTCCTGGACACCCTTCCAAAGGATTCCCATGCTCTCTCCAACTGCACTGTCAGTGAAGGGGATTATGGAAGAGTCACAGGGAACAGCAGCCTCTTGCCAGGCTTATCCACCCAGGAACTCTCAAGGAACTGAAGAATGAAACAGCTGCAACACCTCTGCAACCTCTCCCAGTTTATTTGATACCAGAGGTGGCAAAGTGGTGCCAGCACTAAAATGGAACCACTCAAACTGCACCTGCTGGGTCAGAAACTTCCACCAAACCAACCAAAGTAACAAAACAGCATCAAATTGAGAAAGCAGAAGCTAGAATAGGATCTGAATAGGGATTTCTCTGTCTTTCAAGGGAAATCCCTTCACTTTTAAGCAATGAGGGGATGGGAGGGAAGTGCTCTTTGAAAGAAAGGTCAGAGCAAGAAGAAGGGGGGAGATGAGCTGGGGAGATCCCAGAGGTGATCCTGTGGTGAAGAACTGCACAAAGACCTCAGGCTGACTCCTCTTGGTGCTCAGAAAAACCCAAAAAGCTCCTCAAATACCAGTAATGCCTCACTTACACCTTTGGTACCATTGTAGTCCTCTCTACCTGAGTTTTTAAAACAAAGGAGAAAAGGAACCTGGAGAAAAGCTCAGGAAGGGGTTCTAAAGGTTGAATCAGCTTCCACAGGAGAAATGGGCAACCACTCCTGTGTGTTTGGAATCTGGAAAATGGATGAACCAGGGAGACCATGGCAAAGGTCCACAGAATGAGGAGTGGGACAGAGGAATAACCAGTGTAATTCCCTCCTTCAGGAGCACAGCCCCAGGCAACAAGGGACCCCAACCCAGAGCAGGGGCAGAACAGAGAGGAAGGGGGATTTTTATCTGTGGAACCTTTGCCCTTTTGATGTTGAGGATAAAAGCTGGTGTGGGTTCAAGAAGATGCTGACAGGGTCTCGAGGAGGAGGAACTGAATTAGCAAATATCCAGAACCCAATGCCAAGTGAGGAAGTGCCCCAGAAGCAAAGCTGGACCCAGGGAGAGTTTGGGACAATATTTCCCTCTGCTCCTGGTCACTCCTGGGGAGAAGACCCAGCCTCTGCTCCCTTTCCCTCAGAGGGTTCTTCTATATAAACTTCTCTCTAACAAATACAGGTTATCACTAACTCTGCTCACTCTGCAGTTGCTCATGCATCTCTGTTTGCTCACATCACCTCTATATCTGCCTTATAAAAATACTGACCTCACATCCTGCTCTCAGTGGATTTAACAATGTCTGTGCTGCACAGCAAACACAAGTAAAACAAAACCACTCCAAAAACAAGAGTCTGCTCATATGTGAGAGAACCTAGAAAATAATTTTAAGTTGGTGCCTTCAGTGTATTTTTTTTTCTGTCCACACTCAATGTAGGCTCAATAGCCCATGAAATAAATGGCTGATGCTGGAATGAAGGACACCATTGTTCTGGAATCACAATCCCAGACCCTTCTGCAGGTGTAGCAATTTTCCTTCAGTCCATTCTGGAAGGCCTCCAGGGGGATTCTGACCCTGAACAACCACGTGCAACAACGACCAAACCCCATAAAGGTCTGGTTAAAGATTCACTTGTCGGAAATTGCCAGATAATGCAGCCCCATTTCTCTGCACAGAGAAAAGCAAGGCACAACTTCCCAAGAATATTTCTGGGATTCATATTCTCTGAACCTCACAGAAAGAAAAAACAATTCTTATCTCATTGACTGCTCCTGTGTTGTTCACAAGTGGAATGCATTGTGGAAGAGTGTTTACCTGAAGGGAACTGATTACTGGATTCTGGTGTGAGTGTTTTGATTCACTGGCCAACTGAATCTGGGAGTGTGTGTCAGGACTGTCAGCTGACAGTTACAAGATTTTGGGCAGTTGAGGAGAGTGCTTGGCAGATTCAGTTTAGATGTAACATAATATAAAGTAATATAGAATAGAATAATATAGTATAATGTGGTATTTGCTGGGTCCCCAGGATGAAGGAGGAATTGAGAAATCTGACTCCATGTTCTTAGAAGGCTAATTTATTATTTTATGTACTGATATTACATTAAAGAATGCTGTATTAAACTATACTAAAGAGTTGAGAAAGGATACAGACAGAAGGTTACAAAGAATGATAATAAAAATTTGTGACTGCTTCCAGAGTCCCTACACAGCTGGATGGTGATTGGTCATTAAGACAGAACAATTCACATGAAACCAATCAAACAACCACCAGTTGGATAAACAATCTCCAGACCACATTCCAAAGCAGCAAAACAGGGAGAAGCAATCATATAATTATTGTTTTCATTCTTCTCTGAGGCTTCTCAGCTCCCCAGGAGAAGAAATCCTAGTGAAGGGATTTTTCAGAAAATATGACAGTGACAGTATAATAAAATAATTAATTAGCCTTCTGATAAGATGGAGTCCCCTGTCAGAACCAGGAAATTCCTCTGACAGCTCTGGAGGACTCGAGACCCTGACAGGGGGCTCAGAGACCTTGGCACAGAGGCCAAGAGCCCTGTGCCTTTGATCTTGACCCATGGAAAAACGATTACCAACCTTTATATGAAGAATTACAAGTCAAAAGAGTTTAAGTAGAATGATGGTAAATTTATCACACGGTGAAAAATTTGATTTCTGGGGTTTTTAGAATGGGGGTTCAGGGGGCAAGATGGAGGAATCTGGGTGTGTCCAGCCTTTCTCCTTCTTCTTCTTGGCCTCCATATGTCCTGGGTGATGGTGGCACTTACAGATTGTTTTAGAGTAGAAGCTCACTGTCTAACCCAGGTGATAGATATTGGGAAGTTATGGTAAATAATGTACACATATACAAAAAGATAACACCAGAGTGCCTCAACCCAACTTGCTAGACAGACCTCAGCAGGCCAGAGAAAGAAATTCATAGATAAGAACCAATAAACAACCTTGAGAATGAGAACACAAAAATCCTAACTCTCTTTGACAGCCAGGCTGGGAAAAAGCAGCTTGTACGTATCTCAGAGTCACTCTGAGCAGCAGAGATTCTCAGAGTCCCCCTCATCATTTCTCCCAGCTGTGGGGCACAAATATCACTGCTAAGATAACTGCTGGAACCCCCAGAATGGCAAGGAGAGGAGCAGCCTTACCGTCGGACAGGGTGCGCACCACGACGTCGTGGGTGGAGACGCCGGGGCCGTGCTTGTTGTAGGCGACCACGCGGAAGCTGTACTCGGTGAACTTCTTCAGCCCTGTCAGCGTGTGGGACAGCCCTGCCACGTCCACGTCCTGTGCCCAACAACACCCCCAGCAAGGTCAGCTCAGTCTGCTCATGCCTCAGGTTTTGGGTTTTAGATTTTGCACATTCTGTGCTGCTTTAGTGTGTGGGTCTGGGTTCATGTTAGGGGATGCTCTGTGTACAGAGCAGGGAGACAAAACAATTCCTGCTCTAGCTGGGCACCAAGGACAAATGACCCAAATCTGAGGCCCAAGGGCACAAACAACATGGACTGAAAAAAAAAAAAAACAAGAAGGATGGGACTGCATGGGCTAAAGCTATAACTGGATAATTAACTCCAATATGCAAATGGGCCAAAACTTATAAATGTGACAGACCCCATGACCAGTTGTCCATTTTTCTGTAGTCGTTTTGGGTTGTGCTGCCCAAGGTGGATCTATTGAGGCCTCTTAATAAATCCCTACTTTATTCTTTAGCTCCATCTAATCTCTGTTTTGGGTCAGCCTTCACAAGGCATCATAAAGTTCCTGCACAACCCACAGCAGGAGCGACACCTCTGTGTCACCTTCAGGCACAGCCAGGACTTGGGAGGATGCCAGCTCTGAGTTTCCAGGAGAAAATTCTCCCTGTCCTATTTAAATCCTAACATGGACACTGGTCCTGTTTATATATATTATCACTATAATAATATCACAACAACAACAATAATAAATAATAATATATAATAATATCACAATAATATTATCACTATATATCTATATATACAGAGATTTTGACATATATAATAGATATAGAGGGATGCAGACTTAAAAAGGGCAACAGCCCTATTCAAAAACTGATGTAAAAAAATATTCAAAAGCTGAAAAAAATATTCTTCCCTTTGTTTTTTAAAGCTGGAATGATACTGATATGCACTCAGATGGGAATGTGGCTGGGATTAATCCTCATTATTCTCAGGTGACAGCCTATACTTTCACAGAACACACCGAATGCTTCAGTGGAATACTAAGAAAATTAAATTAATTTGATGCTCTGCAATATCAAAATATCAATCACTGGGTCCAGTAATTCAGAAAAGTTTGGATTAGGGATCAAGTCAAAATCAGTATTTAGCCTGAACACCTAAAACCCAACCCATAACACTGTGCAAACACCTTTAATATCATCTGCACCAGAACAGGTCAATAATGACATGGCTGCGCTCTGCCCTCTCCTCTTGTGGTATGATGGAATTCCCAAAAGATATTTGATGCTGACAAATCAAATCAGCCCATCACCAATAAAATGGGTTTCATTCCCAGCCCAGACACAAACATTTCACATTGAAATTCTGATTTTAGGTATTCCTGTGTCTGAGGCATTGAGTCTGTAAGGAGAGCAGCCCCTCCCCAAGGTGTGTGCAGCCCCTGAGGGCAGTCTGAGCAGGGGCAGCAGGCCCTGTACCTGCTCAGTGTGCTGTCCCTTCTCCATGTAGTAGAGTTTGTAGTTCTGGATGTCCCCTGTACCTGCTCTGTGTGCTGTCCCTTCTCCATGTAGTACAGTTTGTAGTTCTGGATGTCCCCGTTGCCCGAGAGCGGCGTCTCCCAGGTGACAGTGACGCTGGTGGGGGAGCTGGAGAAGGCGCGGATGTTGGGAGCGGGGCCGGGCAGCTGGACTGCAACACAAGGGGAGCCCTGTTAGTGCCCACCCTGGCCAGCACCCCAGGAAAAGGGGGGATTTTCCCATTCTGACATTCCACATGGATCCACTGAAGGGTGGGACCCGATTCCCAAAGAAGCTCCTGCTCCCTGGGTCCCTTTTGTCTAAAATGACCTTAACAAGTGACTTAGCATTTGCCTGAAGTTTTGGCTTTTTGAGTTAATGACCATTAACTGAAAACGACAAAACTTCATGCAAATGCCAAGTAAAAGCACGAAGTATTCCTTTTAGAACAGCTTAGAGAATTTAGCAAGATGCTGGGAGCAGAGCTGGGCAGCACAAGGGGAACTGTGCTAGTCCTGAGCCTGGGGTGTCCACCCTGACCAGCACCCCAGGAAAAGGGGGGATTTTCCCGCTGTGACATTCCACATGGATCCACTGCAGGGTGGAAGGTGGGACCAAATTTCCAAAGGAGCTCCTGCTCCCTTTTGTCTAGAATGACACTCACAAGTGACTTAGCATTTGCCTGAAGTTTTGGCTTTTTCAGTTAATGACCATTAACTGAAAAAGCCAAAACTTCATGCAAATGCCAAGTAAAAGCAAAAGGTATTCCTGTTAGAGCAGTTTAGAGAATTTAGCAAGATGTTGGGAGCAGGGCTGGGCAGCTGGACTGCAACACAAGGGGAACCCTCTTAGTCCTGAGCCTGGGGTGCCCACCCTGGCCAGCACCCCAGGAAAAGGGGGCATTTTCCCATTGTGACATTCCACATGGATCCACTGCAGGGTGGGAAGTGGGACCAAATTTCCAAATGTCCCATCAGTTCTTAATGCTGACAATAAATCCCACAACCCCATCAACACAGAAAATCTTTGGAAACCATGATCCGCAAGTGCAACTTTTAAAAAGCATCAGATTCTGGGAAAGGTTGTGAATGGGGAGAACAAAAAAACGAGATCAGGATCAATGCCAAGTGAGGAAAACCCCAGGGACATCCTGGCTCACCCTCGGGCTGCGTTGCCACCTTGAGCGGTGCCGAGCTCTCGCCGGGGCCGTGCCGGCTCTGGGCCACCACGCGGAACACATAGACTGTCTCTGGCATCAGGCTCTGGATCATCACCTGCGTCTCTCCAGCACGACTCGTGTTTTCCACACGTTCCCTTTGGGAAACAAAAGGGTTGGGCACATGTTATCTTATATATCAAGAGTTCTATTATCATTATAGTGCAAGGATTCCATGTTGCCAGAGTTTCATATCGCCTCATTGTTTCTCGTAGGCAGCTCCTCTAAACACTGACTCTTCCTGGTCCTTGCAGCAGCCATCTGACTCCTCTAACTCCAGTTCCCACCAATCCACTCTTTTATACCACTGTTCTTATTGGCTACAGGTGTGGCCTGTTAAGATCAGGCCTGCTCCTAATCTTTAGTAATTGGTCCAGCTGCAACTCATTGGGGGATAAGATTACATTCTATACCACCTTCATTCACCCATACTGTATCCCCTACAGACACCAGCACTGATTAGTAAATGAGGAGTAGCTGCTCCTGTCCCATGTGAACGTAGCCAGTGTGTAAATGGTGTGGGATTTGCACTGTGCTCCCTGCACAACACCATGAGAGTGTGTGCCACAAGTGCTGCTGACAAACTGCTCCCAATTCTGCAACTTCCCTTTGCACAAATGCACTGAAAGAACAGAATAAATTACACTTGATACCCACAAACACGGAGTGGTTTCTTTGTTATCCCCGTGACAGCAAGTGATAATTCACAGTGACAGTTTATCCTACAGCTCGGGAGCCAGCACTGAAACTATTTTAGCAGCAGGCACAGTCTGGCGCGATTTAGGGCATTCCTGTTAATATTGTGGGGCTGCTTTTTGGGGATTTTTCAAAGGAGCTGTTTTAACATAATCTTCTACCTCCAGCCTTGCCTCAGCTCCTTGCTGATGTTTGGATTTGTTCAGAACACCCAGGGCACAGCCATAGCACTGAGTGCTTCCACACAGAGTGGAGGTGAAGTGAAAATTCCCACCTCCAACACCTGCAGGGTGGCAGAGCCCACAGAAGGAGCACTCTTGGCATGGGAAGGGGCATCTGTGCCAGGCCAGCATGCTGAGAGCTGGAAGCTCTAACCCAGCACACAGGTCATGTGTGGGGCACCTGGAGGGGCATTGCTGCTGCTCAGTGACCTCCAGCCAACCCTGGCACCGGAACGGGACATTGCCCCTGGCAAACACCATCCAGGAAACTCCAGCTGCTCTTATCAGGGATTGAGGGCAACATTAGCAGATCAATCATTAAACCTTTATTTCAAGGCATTGCCCTGCACCTGAGCTGCTCAGGGCTGTTCAGGTAATGCTGTCCATCTGTCCTTCCTTGGGATGGAGCTCCCTGGGGATGCCAAGAACTCCAAAAGGAGCAAGCAGGAACTTCCCAGTGAGCAAATGCCTGCTCTGAGCAGCGTGCAGCCCCTCCAGGCTGCCAGGCTCCCAGGGACAGGGATGGGCAGGGACAGGCTCAGCCCCACTGACACCTGTTAAAGCATTTCTGACGCAGAACCATCCCAGGCTCCTCTTCCTCCCTTTCCAGCCACTCTGCTTCAGTTTTTATCAGGGAAATAGGATCCCAAGTCTCCCATTTTTCATTTTTTTTTTTTTTTACATCCACTGGTGTGGTTGATTTAGCAGAATCTGACTGAAAGCATTCTGAAATCCCTGTTGGTTTCTGCACTATTAAACTGTATCTATAGAGGGGAACAATGCACTGTCTGTAACTAAATACCTATTTACATCCTTTTTCTAGAATGTTCCCCTTCATAAGCTCAGCTAAAATGGCACTGCATAAACAGCTTCATTTATTTCAGCTTTTTATTAATTTTCATTGCTAATTTTTCCACTTGGAGCACAACATTTTCTTGAAAACACATTTCCAAGTGGAGCTTCCTTTAGACATGCTGTAGCTACAAGGATGGGATCTGGGAGCCCAGCCTAAGTGCCAATGGATTCACAGCTGTGAGGTAACATCCAGCTCCCATTAACATGCAAAATATAGCATTTTCTGTCTCAAGTGCAAGTGCACTCTCTGATTTGATCTAAGAAAAAATGGTAATCAGCAAACCAAGGTTATTATTTAAAATTTGAAAAAAAAAAATATTTTGCTGGAAAGACAACATCTAGCAAAAATAAATAGATATGTCACAGCATTGCAAATTTTCAGTAATAACCAGGGATGTGGCTTCACAACAGCTTGGTAAAAATAGGGAGAGATTAATCTAATTAAGTGCTGAGTGAATCTTTCCTTTATGGCTGTTCCTGGGGAGCCTGGAGCACCTTTCCCAACGTGCTCAGGTTGGGATAACAGCAGCAAGCAGATGGGCCCAGAATAACTGCAGTACCCTGCAGATCCTCACAACTGCTCCATGCTGCACTGTGATCCCCAGCTCAGGAGCTCTGGGAGCTCCAGGCTCACAGCAACTCTCAAGCACCCATGGGAGAGCCTCCAGTGCAGCCCCAGGAGTCTGGCTGGAGGTGCCAAGGTTAAAGCTGCACTTATATCTAAAAAAGCATCTCTGGGGAGCTGCTAGGGAGTGATGTTGTGTGTGCCAGCTGTGGGGCCTGGCAGGGAGCTCCAGAGGCATTCTGAGTGTGATTACACACAATTAAGCTCCATTTGCTGTGTCTGAAGCACACCACAGTTAGCTGTGAATCCAGCAGTGTTTCAACATCCCACATGTGTAATTTACTACCTCAGACCAGCAATGTGCCATTTTCATTCTTTTATTGTGCCATTATTTCTTTTTTTTTTTGGTCCAGATCTTGAAGTCTGGGGTTCTTCTGCCTGAGTGCTTACCTAAAGTTCCCCAGAATTAAAGCTCCCTGCAGCACTTTGGAATTCTCACTCCCTTTCCAGGGGAGCTGCCTTGAGCTGCCATGGGGATGAAATAACCCTGCAGTTGTGTGATTCAGGAACTTCCACCTGATCAGACTGCCCCAGGTCCCAGGGGGTGTGACAGGGAACACCCCTCATTCCCACCCCTTTGCCTCCAGGGGAGCCTCATGATGGCACCAGGGCAGGTCACAAGTCACAGCTGGTGACACTGGGCAGCCCCTGAAGCAGAAATGTCCCCTCCATTGCTGCCTCCTCCCTTTGCAATGCCCCTCTTGGAATCACAGAACAGGCTGGGTTAGAAATGAAAAGGGATCCAGTGCCACCCCCTGCCATGGCAGGGACACCTTCCACTGTCCCAGGCTGCTCCAAGCCCTGTCCAGCCTGGCCTTGGGCACTGCCAGGGATCCAGGGGCAGCCCCAACTGCTCTGGGCACCTGTGCCAGGGTGGCACCTCCCAGAGAACAATTCCTATTTCCCAATATCCCATCCATCCCTGCCCTCTGGCACTGGGAGCCATTCCCTGTGTGCTGTCCCTCCATCCCTTGTCCCCAGTCCCTCTCCAGCTCTCCTGGAGCCCCTTCAGGCCCTGCAGGGGCTCTGAGCTCTCCCTGGAGCCTTCTCCTGTCCAGGTGAGCACCCCCAGCTCTCCCAGCCTGGCTCCAGAGCAGAGGGGCTCCACCCTCAGAGCATCTCCATGGCCTCCTCTGGGCTCTCTGCAGCAGCTCTGTGTCCTCCCTGTGCTGGGGCAGCTCTGCAGGCGGGGTCTCACCTGAGGGGGCAGAGGGGCAGAATCCCCCCTCAAATAAGTGCAAGGGGCAGAGGTGAGGGGGCACTGCCATGGTCCAGGGTCTTCCCCCCTGAACACTGAAAGAAGCTGAGCCAGCAGAAGCCAAGGCAGTTGGAATTTCAGACCCTCAGAAAATTTGGGTGTTTCTGAACACTTCCCACTGTCCCAGAGCCCGGCCTGGAGCACCTTGGATGTCACCAAATTAAGGGAGTAACAGGAAAACGTTTGTGAGGCAAATAAAATGTTACAAATTGCCTCAGTTAATTGCCAGGAGCCTGGACAAGATGTCTATGCACAGGATTGAGGAAGAGCAGGAATTCCCCTCTGGAGTGTTTTCTGTTCCAAATGACTTTGTGTCTCTCACTCTCATCAATAAAGTGAACAGATAATTTTCCCTTGAGTAATAAATCTGATAAGCTAATCTGCAATTAATTAAGCATTGCTCCAAATGAATGTTCACTTCAGCCCCCTCAAACTTATCACAATTTGAAACTGTAATTCTGAGCAGTAGATGCCATCAGGAAGGAGAAGGGGTAGATTGATATCATCCACTGGGATAATGCATCACAAGTGATGATTGTGAGGCTTTCCCCAGATTTCTGTTCACAGCAATTCTGAGCAGGGAACTGCATTTAGCAGTTGGGAAGCTCTTGGGAAGTTTGCAGCCAATCCAACCATGCTCACAGACTGCCTGTGCAGCTCCACCAGGAGTGTGCAACTGTGCAACTCCTCCAGTGTGTGCAATTCCTCCTGTGCCTGTGCAACTCCTCCAGGAGTGTGCAACTCTTCCACTGCCTGTGCAGCTCCACCAGGAGTGTGCAACTGTGCAACTCCTCCAGGAGTGTGCAACCCCTCCAGGGGTGTGTAACTCCTCTAGGAGTGTGAAAATTCCTCCACTGCCTGTGCAACTCTTCCACTACCTGTGCATCACACTTGCACACTCCTCCAGGAGTGTGCAACTCCTCCAGGAGTGTGAAGCTCCTCCACTGCCTGTACAAATCCTCCAGTGTGTGAAACTCCTCCAGGAGAGTTAAAACTCCTCCAGGAGTGTCAAACTCCCCCAGGAGTGTGCAATTCCCCCAGAAGTGTGCAACTCCTCTAGGGGTGTGAAAATTCCTCCATGGCCTGTGAAACTCCTCCACTGCCTGTGCACCACACTTTCACACTCCTGCAGGAGTGTGCAACTCCACCTCTGCCTGTGAAACTCCTCTAGTGTGTGAAACTCCTCCAAATGCCTGTGCAACTCCTCCAGGAGTGTGCAGCTCCTCCACTGCCTGTACAAATCCTCCAGTGTGTGAAATTCCTTCAGTGTGTGAAACTGCCCCAGGAGTGTGAAACTGCCCCAGGAGCGTGCAGCTACTCCACTGCCTGTGTAGCTCCTCCAGGAGTGTGCAACTCCCCCAGAAGTGTGCAACTCCTCTAGGGGTGTGAAAATTCCTCCATGGCCTGTGAAACTCCTCCACTGCCTGTGCAACTCTTCCACTACCTGTGCATCACACTTTCACACTCCTCCAGGAGTGTGTAACTCCACTTCTGCCTGTGAAACTCCTCTAGTGTGTCAAACTCCTCCACTGCCTGTGCAGCTTCTCCAGGAGTGTGCAACACCTCCAGTGTGTGAAACTCCCCCAGGAGAGTTAAAACTCCTCCAGGAGTGTGAAAAGTTTTCCAGTGTGTGAAACTCCTCCAGGAGAGTTAAAACTCCTCCAGGAGTGTGCAACTCCTCCAGTGTGTGAAACTCCCCCAGGAGTGTGCAGCTCCTCCAGTGTGTGAAACTCCTCCAGGAGTGTGCAACTCCTCTAGGGGTGTATAATTCCCTCACTGCCTGTGCAAGTCCTCCAGGAGTGTGAAACTCCCCCAGGAGTGTGCAATTCCTCCGCTGCCAGTGCAGCTCCTCCCTCCAGGAGGGTGGGGAAGGAGGCAGAACAGCAGCACCCTCCACCTCAAAGCGCAGAGAGCCCTCCCCCGGTGCTGGTTACCTGTTGACGCCCTCCTTGGTGTAGAAGATGGAGTAGGTGAGGTTGTCCCCGTGCGGGTCGGAGGCGGGCGGGCGCCACGTGAGCCGGATGAAGCGGGTGGACACCAGGGTGGCCACGACGTCCCGCGGGGCCGAGGGCAGGGGTCCCGCTGCCGCTGCTGCTAGATGGTCATTAGTGGCACTGGTCAGTGAAGTGGGAGGTAATGTTGGGATGGCAACATCTTGGCATGTGCAAACATTGGGGAATATGAAGGGCAAACATCACCACGGTTTAAAAAAAAAAAAAAAAAAAAAAAAAAAAAAAAGAGAACAGAAGAAAAAAAAAACGTAAAAGAAATAAACAAAACCACGATGGGAAACAGAAGAAAATGAACACACAAAAAAGGCCATTAAACTGAAGGCTGACATGCAGGCAGAGGTAACTACTGACCACTAATGGGGAGTACAGGACACGGCACCGTCAGGCAAGCAGACCAAATCTCCACTGTAATGGAAGTGGCAGGGGAGGGAAGGGTGGAACTGGGGGTAAAATAAACCTCAGGAGAGGATACCAGCAGCAAACCAGTGTCATTGCTTTGGGAGCACATGTGTGACAGCAAACCCCAACCTCTGGTATTACTCACATGCACACCCAGACCCCCCCTCCTACTGTAGCTCATTAACATGCACAATGCTTCTCAATCATAACAAAATGACAGATGAAAACACAGAATCCCTTTGAGTGCAAACTCATCCAGCCAAACCCTGCAGTCCTGCCCTGGTTGGGCTCTGCTGCTGCCCATGGCACTGCAATTACAGCCCTTTCCCCACTGTTTTCCTGCCATCTTCCTCTGTCCCACACCCCCATTTCATCATTTACAGTGACTCTAACAAGCAGAAACAACTGCTGCTCTGGATTATACCCACACTCTCCAAACTTTTAGCCTCAGTCATGTCTTCCTATGTTGCTACTCCAAGGCAGGATAAGCCCAGGGATTATTGCATTAAAAGGTTGCTGATTTAACAGCACAAGCTGAACCATAGGAAGAGCCACTCTCTCTCCAAATCCTATTAAAGCAATCCAGCCAGTAAATGTAACAGTGAGATTCTGAGCAGCTGGACCCCAATTACCACTGAGTATTCCAAGCAGCACAATTAGTAACAAACCCCCAAAGCTCAGGATACATGGAATTTTTCTGCATTCTGAACTATTTACCAAGCTTAAGCCACCTGATGACATTTTCCACATGGGAATCCATGCTGCCAAATACATTTATTTTTTCATTAATTATGGAAGCTAACTAAAATTGCTCTGCTTTTCCCCAGAAAGAAATTCAGGACTAGAAAGCTTGTTGAGCTGCAGCCTCTCCACCAGAACGTGTGGATTTGTGTTGTGATACACAATGAGAAAACCTCCCAGAAAATCTGACTAAAGGAGAAAATGTCATCTGAATGACCAAACCTTCAGGGAAAAACACTGAGGAGTCTGATTTTAAATTGTCAAAGCCACTTGTCAACCCAAGCATCAGCCTGGGAGAACTCTGCAATTGGGAGAACTCTCATTTTCCTGTTCTGTTTCCTGGGCAGGTCCTGACACAGACCTAAGAAGCAGCCATGGGTTTTGTTAGATCTGTACAATGTAACAGCAGCCTGTGGGCAGAACTGGAGACATTCCCAGAGCCAGGACCATTTTGATATTCCAAATACACATCACAGAAACACATACTCCAGGGTACCTCCTTAATTATCCCTTCCACACTTTAATAGCTAAAGATCCCAATTAAGTGCTCTCCAGCAGCCCCTCCTGATCAATACATGACACCATTAATTTCACATTCATTGCAAAATCTATTTCTATCTAACCCCCCCTTTTTTATGTCCCATCATTGGTTTTCTTGCAGGAATGCAGCACTTTCAGCTCCTGTGGCCTCAGCAGGGCCCCATTCCCCAGAGCACTCAGGAGAGCCCTGGATGGGCCCAGGGGATCCTCCCAAAGCATCTCCCTGCTCCTCAGTGACATTCCAGGGCTGATCCAGTATCACACCAGGCTTTCCCTGTGTTTAAATCCCAGCCTTTGTCATCAGCTCCCTTGGACTGGACACTCTGACTGCACCTGGAAAATTCCTTCCTCAGCGTGAACAAGGGCTGGAACTGCCTGGTGCCCATTGCTTTCAGCACCTTTCCCACTGTCCTGCTTGATTTCCAATCCACTTCAACTTCCAATCACTCATACTTGGGTTTCTCTTACCTGTTTGTCATGTGATCTCTTCAAATTTGATGCAAAATCCACCCCTCACCTATCATTAAAATTCCTTCAGCTGAGTTGAAGTGGAATATTCTTTAAATTCATCTGCTTCATCCAAACCCCATCCCCACACATTTGTGTGTTTTTCTTCCCAGCTCATGAAATGGATCCATCTTTTGAGCAGTGATGTGCACACAGAGAGCTGAGGGCTCTGGGAGAGCTGCCAGGATTTCCCAGAGAACAGACACCCAGCTCCAGCCTTGTGCAGGGCTCAGAGCAGGAATGTTCCTCCCCACAGCATCACAGGAGAGCATTCCCAGACAACAAAACCCTCATGGTGCCTGAAAAATCAGCTGAGACCCAGAGAGAGCAGCAAGGACCTGAAAGCCCAGAACTGCACTGCAGCACTCCTGGGGCTGCCAGGGGCTGGGACAGGGACCCCAAGATTCAGGGATTTCCTTCCTTTTTTCCCTGTGTTTCCCACAAATGCCTCAAGTGCTGTTACAGAGGCTTCATCCCCAGTAGGGTGAGCGCAGCTCAGCACTCAGAGCTCTGTTAATGAGTAATTACATCCCAATTAGCTCCAACACCAATCAGGGAATGGCTTTGTCCTTTCCAGCTTTCAGCACTATGGAAGAAGCAACTCAAATCTCTTCTAACATCTCTATCACTTCTTAAACAATAACTCCCACTCTGGGCTGTTCTCTGCAGTTATTCCTGCACAGTTTTCATGGATCTCATTTTTTAAAAGCACATTCAGCAAGAGTCTTGTGCTTTGCACCACAATTTATCTCCTGCTGGGGAGGAACTGGAACCAGAGGGATGCTGGAACTCCTGGAACACAACTCCAGGCAGCAGAGTTCCACCCCACATCAGAAGAAGAATTTTTTAACTTGGTCCTAGAAATTATTTCCCCATGGAAATGGTTTTCCCCACGTGCTCCAGCATTCCAAGGCACAGGAATCTGTTTGTGCTGCTCAGGTGACACCAACAGTGCCAGCCAAGGCAGCCCCAGAGGAATCCCAGGGATGCAGGGTGAGGATTCAGCTGCTGGTCCTCAACCCTTCTATCAAGCTGCCCTTCCCAGGGCTCCTTCTGAGCAGGTATCAAACTCTACAACTATTTTATCAAAACACTCCACAGGGTGTGCAGACAGCCACAAGGATTTGGACTGGAATCCATCAGTAACAAGGCTGGAACTGCCCCAGCACTGGTGACACCCCAGAGGTGAAGGTGTCCATGGGGAGGGTGTGACCCCAACTTTCATCTTGCAGGAAAACCATGGGTAACAAAGAGAGGGAGCCTGCCCAGAGAGCTGCTCCAGAGCCACCACCCAGGAGATCTTTTCTAAACAACCCAGCCACACCTGCAAACCACTCACTGAACCCTCTGGCTGTTAGGAAATCACTAGAAATACTTTCCATGCTGTGTTCAGATTTCCTTTTTCCTGCCTTCCCCCTGCTGGCACATCCAGGCTTCCTCCTGTTTGGCAACAACATTGCAGTGATACCATCAGCCCCACACAAAGGGGGGACAGCAGGGTTATCTGCTCCAGCCTTATCTCAACCTCTGGGCACACTCCAGTGCCCTGGGTGCCCACCTGGCAGTGCCACCACCTGTGTTACCATGATATTTTCTGAAAATAAGGAACAGGGACACCAGTTCATACATGGAGGAGGAGAAGAGAAAGTTCTCTTTGGAAGGACTTCAGGGTGGATTTCAGAGATTTGAAACATGATTTTAGCAACAAAGATCTACTAACAACTAAAAATAGCAAATAACTATTTTGCCAACAAACCTTTTGGAAAAAAATTACTAAAGACACTTTAATACCTTATACCTTAACTGCATTCTTCTAATACCTTAACTGCATTCTCTAAGAAAAAAAATTCCTAAGAGGCACCAAATGTTTAATTTTGACTTGAGGTATTCATATAAAACTGTGTACTCAATCAATAATATTTCTCCCATAAATCTATTTAACTGGTTCCAGAAAGGTAATAAAGACTTCCAAACTTTTTCTTTTACCTACTGCACTGTTCTCCTGAATCTGAACTTTGGTTCATGTTGTCCCCATGGAAGGATTCAGCCCAGATCAGGATTAAGCAGCTGTGATTCTGCAGTCACAGTCAAATCCCACTGATTTCATTATGCTCATCCTATTTAAAAACAACAGCAGCACTTGGCTGCAGTGCAATAATAAGCATGAAATAACAAAATTAGTAAGTTCACACCACACACCATCCTTCAAAATTTTGCTTTCTCTATTTTTTGTCCATGCTTTTGCTTGTATCCAATTGTTGTCCTTGCTCAAATGTTTAAAACAAACATTTCCAACAGAAGGGATCACCTGGTTATTGCTGTTCCCTGAGTGAGACCTCACTCAAACAAAGCCAAGTTACCTGGCCCAAGTAATTTCAGACAAACAGCCAAAGTGCTGAAGTTGTTCTCACCAGATCAGTAATAATGGAATTAACTTCTTCCCTTGGGAAAACTCATTTAAAGAAATCTCTGGGATTCCCTCCACAAACTGATGCTTTTGTGCAAAGCTGGAACAGAGGAACAGAGACTGAACAGATGTGGAAAGAAGAGGGTGGAAATTAATTTCTGAATACCCTGGATTTCCAAAGGCAGCCACCATCACCCCCTGGTGTAAGTCACAGACCCATTTCTGTTTAGGAGAAAACACCCTCCAATTCAGGATTTTGTAGACTTAATTATTCTTCATGAGCTAATTTAAACTGCAGAACTTTGTGGACTCAAATCTTGGAAATTTGGAGATGTGTGGAATTTGGAATGGGTGATTTTGGAAATGTGTCAGAAAGTCAAACAGGACAGTGTTGGAACCAACACCTTGAGGGAAGCAGAGCTGGACACAGCCACTGAGCATCCTTTGGGAATTGGGGTAATCTGAGTGTGATTCCTTTGGGAATGACACCTGCAGGAGCCACAGGAACCAAGGCATCCCTGAGGAATTGGGGTAATCTGAGGTTAATT